GGGATTTAGGGGGGGTTGGGTTTTAAGATGTGCTCCCCCCGCTGCCATGTAATTAGTGCAATTAACTCATTAACCCTGTCGCTGAGCACTGGGTGGCCGGATTTCGAAGACCCCCCCCCTTGCTGCTTGGAGGTGGCAGTCACCCTCAACCCCAATTATTTCCCCATCCATGCATGCAGCAGCAGCAAAGGCAATTTTGGGGTTCAGGGCTTGAACCCAGAGTTGGGCATGCAGGTACCTGGCTTGAAAAGGAGTCAAAAACTTTGGGAAAAGTAGCTTTATTGGTCCGGATGGTCACGACCTGGTTGTGAACGATGGAATTTGGAGACCGGTTGCCTAATCCTCTCCTAAGCCAGAGGGAAAAACTGCCTGGCATGCAAAAGATGGAAAGAAGATATAAAAAAACCCAATATCACCTTGGGAATGACACGGGGTCACATCCTGGAGGTGTGTGACAGCAGTGGCAAGGGGACGCAGGGCCACTGCCACTCCCCAAGCCCAGAAAATTAAAAAAGTAGCAATTAACCCTCCTGCTCCTTCTTGCAGATGAGAAAAGGGCCTTAATTATTGCTCTGTGAGGATGAGGAAGGCCATGAATCTTGCTGTATCCTGCACAAAATGCTGCTTTTATTAGCATCACACAGGAACCATTAGAAAAACCAAATCGATTTGACTCTTCGGCTCGGTTGACGTCCGCTCAGCTTAAATGCAAGATGCCAAAGTGTCATTTGGTTGTCTGTGACGGCCCTTAATGATTTTTTAATGTCCATGCCGGAAACTTACTGGTGTAAGAAAGCACCAGGCAGGTCTTTACGTCTGTGTTTCCAACGGGAAATGAAGCTGACAGAGAGGAGCGAGGGAGAAGCCACCCCTGGGGGGCAAGGGTTGGTAGCCACAAGACCACTTAAAAATAGTAATGAACTTTCCAGAGCTGCTGGAGGGAGCGGGGAGCGGTGGGACCATCCCCAACCTGGGGGTGGCTCCCAGTTATTTCCCACAGCAGCAAACTTTGCCTTTTATTCTGCCCTGTGTCCCTTATAAACAAAACCCCAAAGAGTCTGGGCTGTGGGACATGGTTTGGGTGGGAAACGGTGGCCATGCAACACAGTGTTTTTGGGGAAACGGGCATTTTTGGTGAGTAGAGAAGAAAGGAGGGGAGCTTCCCCCTTGTTTGCTCCTTTTCTGAGTCATTTAGGACCTCTCCTCTGGATTTGGGTGCTGTTGGCAAGGAGGGAGCCCTCATTTTTTGGCTATTTTGGCCTTCTGGTTGAGCTCAAGGGCTTCGGCCGTGGCTCTGAAGCTCTGGGATCTCTGGACTAGTCCTTTGGGAGTCTGGGAGGAGAGCAGAGCCCCAGGAAGAAGGGCAGACAGGGCTCCAGGAGGGCATGTGGCGCGATGGCCATTAAATTGGCTTAAAATAATTAGGCAAGGAAGTGACTTCAGGGAAGGCAGCGTGGCTGGGCTCCCAGACCAGCTCTGCACTGGTGCCAGCACTTGCCTTGACATCACATCGGTGCTGACAGCAATACCCCACAGCTTGAAAAGAGGAGAATATTCGGCTTTACCGTAGCTGCCGTCGGTGTTTGCAGCCAATTTCGGATTTCTGTATCCCCACGAATTAATGTGAAATCTTTCTAGCCCACATCTCCCATTTCCCAGGACTGACTGGGTCCCTTTTTGGTTACTAGGAACTAACCCCATCCTCCAGCATCCCCAGAAGGAAGAGCTTGTGATTTAAATCAGACTGTATTTTCCCTTACAGCCCAGTAAATAAGGATGTCAGCCCTTTCCTGGGAGGCTGCTGGGGTACCCCAGATATCACAGCCATAAAATCAGAGCCTGATAACCAACACCAAAACCCAGAACAAATAATCTGTGGCCCGTCCATTGTCATTATCATAGTGGGGCTCTGGGATGGCGAGGGCATCTGCACATCCTCACTGACCCCCAAAATATCCTTGAGCCAAGAGACAGAGCCCCCAGGGTCCTTCCCCTCCATCCGCAGGAAAACCAACCGAAGGGATGGGAAAAATGCAGGCAGAGCTGGGAGCTGATCTCCAACTGATTGAAAACGTGAAGAGGGAAAGTTTTACAAACCCAACTGGGAATTGGAGCTAAAAATACAGCTGCCAAGGCTACTGCTTGTTTGGCCGCTGTGGGGATGTGCATGCACAGTGGGGCTGGCACTCACTCCCAGAGAAAGGCTGCTCCCTTAAGAGCATCCAGATGAGGCGATTATATATTATACATTATTTTTATATATTATTTATATATATATATTCTCACTTGCCATGCTTTATACAGCTGCTGCATGCTGAAGAGAGACACCATCGTCTTTCCATGAGCAGGAGAAGCCAGCTGCAAGGGACGGACCAGGCTTCCCCGATGCTCATGGGCTTTGCAGAGAGGGAAAAGGTGCCGTGAGATGTTTGGAAGGGGCACATTGGGTCACTGCTCCAGGGTGGGCACCCATTTGGGGAGGGTCCTGGAAGTAGTGAGGATTTTCTCATGCCAGGCTGCTTTTTTTGACTGGATTTCCCTGAAATACCCGAGGCCATCAAATCCACAGGGAAACACAGAGCTGCCAGTGCTGGTGTGGTTCCCAAAGAGATCTAAATCTTTGAAACCAAGAGACTAAACAGTGTCAAGCTCACGTCAAGCATCTGGCTTTTTAAAAGGCTGTAAAAGTTATGAGGCATCCCTGAGCACTGTGGATCGCTCACCCCATGGGCCGAACGCTTGCCTGAAAACCCCGTTTATGAGGTAAAATCGGGACCCTTGTGTGCTGACCTCATGCGAGTAGAACAGCGAAGGTCCATGGGTTTCTGGGCTATAAATCTGTGTGGGATTTTGGGTCCCAGCACCATGACCGAATGTGGCCACCACCTGCTCTGGTTTCACTGCCCCAGCTGCAGAAGGTGCCAGTCTGTGGCTGAAATAAAACCCCTCTAAAAATATCTCCAAAAGTACCTGAAATAACTCGTTTCTCTGAGCAGCCAGTTAGTGAGCAAGGTCCTGTCATGATGAAAGCACCAGCCCTCCTGTTCTACATGTCTGTCACACTGCATTTCCCTGCCTCAGTTTACCTTCCATGCTCTGCGAGCATCTCTTTGCAGCATGGGAGCTGCATCC